AAAAACTTTTCTGCTACCTGACGCATGCATGAAGTGATTCTGACCATATCGAAGTTAGTGAAGCGAACGACCATTGTTCGGTCGAAATGGGAATATCAATTTGGAAACACGTCAAGGATGGTTACCCCTGAAAATCGTTGATATCCCGTTAAAAATAGCCGTTTTTCAACAAAAGTTCTGGACGTCCCAAATGTTTCGCTAACTGAATAGGCGATTTCTCCAACTTTCAAATGTCATATTTTGGAGGTAAGTCGATCAATTTTCAAACGGATTGTTTTAAATGGTAAAATGGGGATTTGTGAGGAGATCTAAACACAGTTTTGACCGCCGGGCTCACGATTTTTATTTTTTTCGTCGTTTTCTTGCACTTGATTTAGCATTTCGCTATTTACCTTTACTAATTACATATTAGAATATAGGCATAGGATATGTTGTGTCTATTACCTGTGGCCCTGATGGCACTATATCGCTCACCTGTTTTTGGTTTTATTTCGCTTTAGCCATATAAGCCTCGTCCCCTGGCGTCCATAGTTTTCGACAATGTGTCAATATTGCCGATGTAAAGGACATGTGACAAATAAATGAATTTTTATCGTGTTCGAAAAGTCAATTACAACAATTTTGCCAATTTTAAAGGGCCATAATCCAGGCATGCATACACGATTCGAAAGGAACCGTGCTTTCATGTATATCTAGCTACTGTATAAGTTTGGTAAATATTGGATAATAAATGATGACTTTAACTTGTTCACAAGGTCAATTATAGCAATTTTGGCAATTTTAAAGGGCCATAATCCCGTCACGCATAAATGGATCTGGCTGGTTTTCGAAAGGAATCGAGCTCTTATGTATATCTAGGTACTGAATAGGTTTGGTAAACATCGGATCCTAAATGAAGACTGTATCGTGTTCACAAGAAAGTGTGGTTGGACGACAGACAAAGGGCGATATCCCAAAAATCATAACCCATATATAGCATCAAACTGGTTAATTAAGTCATAATATAAAAAGATATTTGCAGAAAAAACAACACAAAAACAAGAGGGCCAAGTTGGTCCTAAATCGATCACCTGAATGATAGTAAATTAGAAGCAAATATTTAACTGCAAATATCTGTGAAAATGTTATCGGTAGTTCAAATGAAACTGCAAGGAGTGGACACTCAGTTAAAGAAATAGTTTATCAGTAAAATCCATTTGTATCTTGAATAACTTTAATAAGAATGGAATTATAAAGTTTTGTCATTTTGCACCTTTCCTGATGCTGCTCTGCTTCCCTGTTTGTCAACGAAATCAATATGGCTTGAGCAATTTTTGTAGAGTCACTCAAAGAACATTTCTGCCAAATTATCTTGGAATCTAACAAACAGATTATGGAGATGGAGGTTTTTAAGGTTTGGGTAATTTTTCTCAATTTCTGACGCCGCAGCATCAAAAGTTCTACACAGAATGTAAGTCTTTGAACAACTTTGAAAGAGGACCATCAAAAGAACATTCCTGTGAAGTTACATTGAAATTGGTTGAGTGGAATGGTAGGAGTTGTCCATTTGTAGCTAAAACTTCAATTTACCCCTTTTGTGATGACGCGAGGTTGCTATGATTTTGTAACCAGTCAATACGGTTTGCACAAATTAAGTAGAGGATCACTGAAGTAAGATTCCTATTCAAATTTATTTAATATCAGACAAGGATTTTCAAAAAAATGGAATTTCCAAATTTTGTCATTTTGCCCCTTTTCTGATGCCTCCTGACTGCCATGTTTTTTAACCAATCAGTATACCATGAACAGGAGAAGATTTTTAAAGTTTGAACAATTCCCCTCTTTCTGATGCCGCTGCAACCAAAGTTCTCAATGGAATTTAAATCTTTGAACAATTTTGAAAGAGGGCCACCAATGAAACATTCCTGTGTAGTTTGGATATAATTGATCATGTGGTTTAGGAGGAGATGATGTTTAAATGTAAAAGTTAAGAACGGACGACGGACAAAAAGTGATCAGAATAGATTACCTTGAGCCTTCGGCTCAGGTGATCTAACAACACAAAAATAAGCATTGCTTATCAACACATGTAAGTACAAGCAACTGTTAATAGTTCAGGTGCATTCATAGAGCTAGTATACTCCCAAATATTAAGATGCTACATATTCTCGAGCCATCGAACTGCACACCCTAAATAGAAACCATTTATATGTACTTTTCACAAGATCGGGCATAAGCAAAGCATATCACCTGTTCTTGAAATACATATTTTTACAAACTTTTAATGTAATTTTTGTTTGTTTTAAATGAAAATTTACTGCTCAAAGAAATAAGCAAACAGAAGTACACTTTTTGATGTTAGAAGCCTAGAAAAGTTTAACATTGTAAAGATAATGATGTAGGTAATTTGTGTGAATAGTCGGTAAAAAAAAAAAATTTCGTCCGCCACCTCCATGTCCGGAGCGTACTTCAGACAGGATCCAATGGCCCCATCCACCTCATGTTCAGTAGCAGTACCGAATGTTTTTATCACACTTGCTGAAATGTATAACACATGAAATAGCTTACAATATAGAGGATGATTGTTTGTTTCAGTGTAAGATCGCAATATAGTTCACCAAGTGACCACCAAAAGATATATTTCACAAGTGGCATTTACTACATGCCACAAAAAGACATAAAATTACATTTGGTGGTAGATTTACATCAAAGCGTGCCAGTTTGAATGCGAAAGTAACGTGATCTCGGAAATGACGTCGTTGAATATTTGTCCCCGCGCGCTGACTTTTGATTTTGACTAGAACAGGCTAAAATTTCCAAACAGTGAAAATTATCAAAATTATAATTTCAGTGTGTTTGTAACACGTTTTCTGATTGGATAAAAAAACAAATTTGCGACAGTATAATCACAGTATACCTGTCGCAAATTGTTTTGGCTGCCTCACAAAAAAATTGTATTCCTACGCGTTGTTGTTATTTACAATGGCGGCTAACTTTGATCTTGTTTGGCTGGACGACGATAATGATTCAATGAGTAGCGAAGGCGACACTGATCTTCTGGCTGCAATTAGCTTGTTAGATACATGCACAGGTACCGATGAACCGGTAATAGACACTTCTGAACAAGTTGAGTCGTTGCAAATACCATCTGAATCTGACAGCACCACTGTCACAGCAGACGACACATGTGCCGAGCCCGAGGTCAGCCAGAAGACTGCACGCTTTCCACACATGGATGAGGACGAGCTGGACAATCTAGTTGCCCAAAGTGCGAGCAAGCACACGGATAAAATGACGAAATGGGGTGTTAATACCTTCAAATGTAGGTATCAAATACAAAAAACAGCCGCCATACACCGTCCCTTCAAAGCCAGAACACACATGTGTACAGTGTCCCGTTAGTTGACCTACTTCCAGTCACGCACCGATGTCTTGGTGCTCAAGTTCTCTCCCATCCTACAAATTACAATAAAATGCGACTGTTTTGTTTGTTGTTTTCCTTAAAATTGTGTATTCCCCCGAGATTGTTCCATTAACACATGAAATGTCCTTCGGGGTGGGGAAAGAAATAGACTTGTGGTCACAAATGTGTGTTTTTAGGTGTGTTTTTTTACAGAAAATATTTATTGGAATCCGAATGATGTAGAACTAGGAAATCAAAGGTTAAGTTGTGAAGTTTAACACAGATTTATTATGATGTTAATTACTTTGTTAGTATCAATAATTAACATTCCATAAAAACTTTTTTTTTATTGATTATTGATTAATTTAATTTGCACAGGGATTTGTATCCATTTGCTCAAAATAATTTTTGACCGTCCTTACAATAATTACACTCAAAATAATGTTTCGCGTCTCCAGTAAAACTAAATTTATAATCGTAATACATTTGTCGACGGTTTAATTAATTTGCCGACGGTATACTTAATTTGCCAATGGTATTATAAATTTGCAGACGGTTAAATCAATTTGCCGAATGTAATGTCTGTGTCTCCCAGAATAACTGAACAAACCATGCTGCTTTTATGGCGGGTCTTTTAATCATCCACTTCCGCTGTACATAACATAATCACCAAATGACGGACATAGTTTCCGGAATCATAGTGTTGCTAATTTATAGTGTAGGATATTACATAGACGGTATAATTAATTTGCTGACAGTAAGTCGAGTTGAATCCATTTGTCGACAACTAAATAAATTTGCCGACGGTATAATTAATTTGCTGACGGTATAATAAATTTGAAGACGGTTAAATCAATTTGTCGACGGTATAATTAATTTGCGAATGGTATAATACATTTACAGATGGTATAATAAATTTGCAGACATAGTTGATGCATGTATGGTTGCTCTACTGATTTTGAATTTGACCTACATTCTATGCTTCAATGACTTGGTTAAGAAGAATTGTGTCATGTATATTTCAGGTGAAGAAGAATTGCCCAAATTAATATTACGGTTACTTTAAGTGCTACATGAATTATGCATCAATGCTCAATCTATGATTTCTCTACTTATTTCATGATGCCGATGGTCACTTATGGAATATTGTTGAGTAAACACTTAAAAACAAAAAAATATGTTTGAAATATAACATTTTGTAATCTTTATCTTCCAGAAATGATTCTCATCAGACACCCCGACCACCGACTCGACCGACAATCACTGACGTACAGACAGACCCACTAAATGAGACATCCCAACCACCGACTCGACCGACAATCACTGACGTACAGACAGACCCACTAAATGAGAAATCCCAACCACCGACTCGACCAACAATCACTGACGCACAGACGGACCCACTTACTGAGACATCCCGACCACCGACTCGACCGACAATCACTGACGTACAGACGGACCCACTTAATGAGACATCCCGACCACCGACTCGACCAACAATCACTGACGTACATACGGACCCACTTAATGAAACATCCCAACCACCGACTCGACCGACAATCACTGACGTACAGACAGACCAGGAACTATTTATTTGATGGCTAACAGTGTGTACAGCCAGTAGGGCTAACAGTGTATACAGCTAGTAGGGCTAACAGTGTGTACAGCCAGTAGGGCTAACGGTGTATACAGCTGGTAGGGCTAACAGTGTATACAGCCAGTAGAGCTAACAGTGTGTACAGCCAGTAGGGCTAACAGTGTGTACAGCCAGTAGGGCTAACAGTGTATACAGCTAGTAGGGCTAACAGTGTATACAGCCAGTAGGGCTAACAGTGTGTACAGCCAGTAGGGCTAACAGTGTGTACAGCCAGTAGGGCTAACAGTGTATACAGCCAGTAGGGCTAACAGTGTGTACAGCCAGTAGGGCTAACAGTGTATACAGCCAGTAGGGCTAACAGTGTATACAGCCAGTAGGGCTAACAGTGTATACAGCCAGTAGGGCTAACAGTGTATACAGCCAGTAGGGCTAACAGTGTATACAGCCAGTAGGGCTAACAGTGTATACAGCCAGTAGGGCTAACAGTGTATACAGCCAGTAGGGCTAACAGTGTATACAGCCAGTAGGGCTAACAGTGTATACAGCCAGTAGGGCTAACAGTGTATACAGCCAGTAGGGCTAACAGTGTATACAGCCAGTAGAGCTAACAGTGTGTACAGCCAGTAGGGCTAACAGTGTATACAGCCAGTAGGGCTAACAGTGTGTACAGCCAGTAGGGCTAACAGTGTATACAGCCAGTAGGGCTAACAGTGTATACAGCCAGTAGGGCTAACAGTGTATACAGCCAGTAGGGCTAACAGTGTATACAGCCAGTAGGGCTAACAGTGTATACAGCCAGTAGGGCTAACAGTGTATACAGCCAGTAGGGCTAACAGTGTATACAGCCAGTAGGGCTAACAGTGTATACAGCCAGTAGGGCTAACAGTGTATACAGCCAGTAGGGCTAACAGTGTATACAGCCAGTAGGGCTAACAGTGTATACAGCCAGTAGGGCTAACAGTGTATACAGCCAGTAGGGCTAACAGTGTATACAGCCAGTAGGGCTAACAGTGTATACAGCCAGTAGGGCTAACAGTGTATACAGCCAGTAGGGCTAACAGTGTATACAGCCAGTAGAGCTAACAGTGTGTACAGCCAGTAGGGCTAACAGTGTATACAGCCAGTAGGGCTAACAGTGTATACAGCCAGTAGGGCTAACAGTGTATACAGCCAGTAGGGCTAACAGTGTATACAGCCAGTAGGGCTAACAGTGTATACAGCCAGTAGGGCTAACAGTGTATACAGCCAGTAGGGCTAACAGTGTATACAGCCAGTAGGGCTAACAGTGTATACAGCCAGTAGGGCTAACAGTGTATACAGCCAGTAGGGCTAACAGTGTATACAGCCAGTAGGGCTAACAGTGTATACAGCCAGTAGGGCTAACAGTGTATACAGCCAGTAGGGCTAACAGTGTATACAGCCAGTAGGGCTAACAGTGTATACAGCCAGTAGGGCTAACAGTGTATACAGCCAGTAGGGCTAACAGTGTATACAGCCAGTAGGGCTAACAGTGTATACAGCCAGTAGGGCTAACAGTGTATACAGCCAGTAGGGCTAACAGTGTATACAGCCAGTAGGGCTAACAGTGTATACAGCCAGTAGGGCTAACAGTGTATACAGCCAGTAGGGCTAACAGTGTATACAGCCAGTAGGGCTAACAGTGTATACAGCCAGTAGGGCTAACAGTGTATACAGCCAGTAGGGCTAACAGTGTATACAGCCAGTAGGGCTAACAGTGTGTACAGCCAGTAGGGCTAACAGTGTATACAGCCAGTAGGGCTAACAGTGTGTACAGCCAGTAGGGCTAACAGTGTATACAGCCAGTAGGGCTAACAGTGTATACAGCCAGTAGGGCTAACAGTGTATACAGCCAGTAGGGCTAACAGTGTATACAGCCAGTAGGGCTAACAGTGTATACAGCCAGTAGGGCTAACAGTGTATACAGCCAGTAGGGCTAACAGTGTATACAGCCAGTAGGGCTAACAGTGTATACAGCCAGTAGGGCTAACAGTGTATACAGCCAGTAGGGCTAACAGTGTATACAGCCAGTAGGGCTAACAGTGTATACAGCCAGTAGGGCTAACAGTGTATACAGCCAGTAGGGCTAACAGTGTATACAGCCAGTAGGGCTAACAGTGTATACAGCCAGTAGGGCTAACAGTGTATACAGCCAGTAGGGCTAACAGTGTATACAGCCAGTAGGGCTAACAGTGTATACAGCCAGTAGGGCTAACAGTGTATACAGCCAGTAGGGCTAACAGTGTATACAGCCAGTAGGGCTAACAGTGTATACAGCCAGTAGGGCTAACAGTGTATACAGCCAGTAGGGCTAACAGTGTATACAGCCAGTAGGGCTAACAGTGTATACAGCCAGTAGGGCTAACAGTGTATACAGCCAGTAGGGCTAACAGTGTATACAGCCAGTAGGGCTAACAGTGTATACAGCCAGTAGGGCTAACAGTGTATACAGCCAGTAGGGCTAACAGTGTATACAGCCAGTAGGGCTAACAGTGTATACAGCCAGTAGGGCTAACAGTGTATACAGCCAGTAGGGCTAACAGTGTATACAGCCAGTAGGGCTAACAGTGTATACAGCCAGTAGGGCTAACAGTGTATACAGCCAGTAGGGCTAACAGTGTATACAGCCAGTAGGGCTAACAGTGTATACAGCCAGTAGGGCTAACAGTGTATACAGCCAGTAGGGCTAACAGTGTATACAGCCAGTAGGGCTAACAGTGTATACAGCCAGTAGGGCTAACAGTGTATACAGCCAGTAGGGCTAACAGTGTATACAGCCAGTAGGGCTAACAGTGTATACAGCCAGTAGGGCTAACAGTGTATACAGCCAGTAGGGCTAACAGTGTATACAGCCAGTAGGGCTAACAGTGTATACAGCCAGTAGGGCTAACAGTGTATACAGCCAGTAGGGCTAACAGTGTATACAGCCAGTAGGGCTAACAGTGTATACAGCCAGTAGGGCTAACAGTGTATACAGCCAGTAGGGCTAACAGTGTATACAGCCAGTAGGGCTAACAGTGTATACAGCCAGTAGGGCTAACAGTGTATACAGCCAGTAGGGCTAACAGTGTATACAGCCAGTAGGGCTAACAGTGTATACAGCCAGTAGGGCTAACAGTGTGTACAGCCAGTAGGGCTAACAGTGTATACAGCCAGTAGGACTAACAGTGTGTACAGCTAGTAGGACTAACAGTGTGTACAGCCAATAGGGCTAACAGTGTGTACAGCCAGTAGGGCTAACAGTGTATACAGCCAGTAGGGGTAACAGTGTATACAGCCAGTAGAGCTAACAGTGTGTACAGCCAGTAGGACTAACAGTGTATACAGCCAGTAGGGCTAACAGTGTGTACAGCCAGTAGGGCTAACAGTGTGTAGAGCCAGTAGCTCTCAATCAATCTCATTTCCCCACTGAAATCACTTTCTTGTAAGAGATTGCACAAAATTGTCTTATTTTTTTTATTGAACTAGCTGAAAAATAATCAAATTGAAGTGATTTTCAAAGTATATTTCGAACGCTTTGGTTCTGATCAACACGGTGTAAGAAAATTCAATACTTCTTAATGCCATTGCACAATGTCTTAAAAATAATACAAAAGAGAAAGAAAATGAAGTCGATAAAAAGCCTGAAGCAGTCTAATTTTGGAATCTCAAGAAGATTCAGCTGTTTCCATAATGAACAATTACTAAAAAGACCGTATTTTCCTTTTCTACATCTGCGTCAAAGAAGGGAAACAGGGTTCAAGGTTCACTGTGATGTATTCTCGATCGGCATACCTAACTACTGATTGGCTCAGAGAAAATTCACTAAATATAGATAAATGACGAGGAACGATCCGGCTGTGGAGGGCAATGATCTTCAGTTCTTTCGTTTCTGTTTTCTTTTCCTCAAACAATGTGTTGCTCGTGACAAATTGATATTTATTAATGTAACAATGTTTTGGTGGGTTATAGTATACATATTCTTATATATATATCACCATTCATACAATGACATTGCGGAACAAGGGACTGTTGGCATAGATTGATTAGAGAAATACTGGTTTCATATAAGGATATTCCGTCGGCACACTTACTCGTAAGGACCGAATGAGTTAAGGTTTAAACAGACGTAATATCCTAGTGAGTTAAGGTTAAAACAGACGTAAGTTTCTAGTGAATTAAGGATAAAACAGACGTAAGGTCCAAGTGATTCAAGGTTAAAACAGTCCTTAGGTCCAAGTTAGTTAAGATTAAACCAATCGTAAGGTCCAAGTGATTTAAGGTTAAAACAGTCGTAAGGTCCTAGTGATTTAAAGTTAAAAAAGACGTAAGGTCCTATTGAGTTAAGGTAAGACAGTCGTATGGTCCTAGTGATTTAAGGTTAAAACAGTCGTAAGGTCCTAGTGAGTTAAGGTTAAAACAATCGTAAGGTCCATGTGAGTTACCGTTAAAACAGCCGTATGGTCCTAGTGAGTTAAGGTTAAAACAGTTGTAAGTTCCTATTGAGTTAAGGTTTAAACAATCGTAAGTTTCTAGTGATTTAAGGTTTAAACTGTCGAAATGTCCATTTCAGTTAAGGTTCAATAGTCGTAAGGTCCAAGTGAGTTAAGGTTAAAACAATCTTAAGGTCCTAGTGAATTACGGTTTAAACAGTTGAAATGTCCATTTCAGTTAAGGTTCGATAGTCGTAAGGCCCAAGTGAGTTAAGGTTAAAACAGACGTAATGTCCAAGTGAGTTAAGGTTTAAACGGACGAAAGGTCCATGTGGGTTAAGGTTTAAACAGTCGTAAGTTCGTAGTGATTTTAGGTTAAAAGAGATGTAAGGTCCTAGTAAGTTACGGTAAAATCAGTCGTAAGGTCCTAGTGATTTAAGTTTAAAACAGTCGTTAGGTCCAAGTGATTTAAGGTTAAAACAGTCGTAAGGTCCTAGTGATTTAAGGTTAAAAAAGACGTAAGGTCCTATTGAGTTAAGGTTAAGACAGTCGTATGGTCCTAGTGATTTAA